TAACCATCTGATATGTGAGTCCGCAACCGGATTCGTGAATATTTTACACATTTCAGCCAGGTTAACAACCCAGCCAACTGCATCGTGCGGAATCTACCAATGCTGTAACAGTAAGCTGACTGCCCGAAACATCAATCAAAAATTCCTCAGATGACTACCAGGAGCACTTAATTAATAGGTGCCTTCGGTAAATTTGAAATGCTATTAAAACCACGACTCTCAGGAACCACATGGTTCAGGTGGTTAGAGCGATATCAGTACTTAGTTCCCGCCCACGTTGACGTGGGTTGAATATCGTCGAAGCCCGAAAATATTTTCACAAATTTGTCGAATTAAAGGCTAAATAGTAAAATAATACGCTTACCCGGTAGGCAAAACGATACGGACATTTCATTCCAAATCCAACCGGAGGTTCGAGTTTCCGCAGCATCTCGAGCATATCCGTATGATGAATGCGGCCACTAGGAGGGATACAAAAAACGGTAGATTATGCAATTTACGGATAATTAGCCGATTGTTCGATTTAAGACTGACTACGTCTAACAACGGAACCTCATTATAAGATATCATTACATACACACTCTAGCGCACATCATTGTCTTTATGAGAACGTGTGGTTTCCTGTATGCTGGGTGTAATAATTTACAGTGTTGCATTGCGAATTATTTGATGCACTGAAACATGCCTAGAGTGCAACTACGATTTCCTCGCTTGCTGTATAATTTAAATTGGAAGTTATATTCCTTTAAAAGCCCCCGCCGCTTTTACCAGCATTAAATGTAGCCTTCTACCGAATTGCGAGTGGGTGTGCATTCAGATCCCATAAACTTATTAAAACAAAAGTGACCTTGCGCGTGTAGAGGTCTTTTGCCAGACGACAATTGGGAAAAACTGGATAAATGGTCTTAATCCCACATTCACACTCAAGAGTATATTGACCTGTCTAGAGCAGCTGGTAAATATAAAGCACGAATTTCCAATTGATTGCGCGGTAATCTAGTTCTTCCCAACACATGAAGCTCTCGGCCAGTCATTTATTTTCTCCTCAAGTAAATCGATGTTTTCTGCTTATTCGATTTCTCATATCTGGTGTTTCTACGGAGAATGAGCAAGTGAACGTCACTGTTACTTTTTTCTCACACACGAGAAAACTCAGCCCCAACTAAGCGTAATACTAATCTGACCTGGAAAAATGACCTTCGCCAAATACAGTCTATGGCTGACACCGGAAAATTAATCAAGGCCGGTTCAGGCACTAGCCACCGGTAGTCTTATGGCACTCCCTCTGCGGGATCTGAATCAGCGTGGCCCGCTTCAGCTGCGCCGACCACCTGCGACCGACCTCGTTCTCGGTCTTCTTGACTCCGCCTTAACACCAAGCAGAAAGGGGTGAGGAAAGAAAGAGTGCGGTAGATGCAGCACAAGTCGACCATCGCTTAAAACTAACCCCCACATGTGTCACCGTTCCCACCCCACTAGGCTGTGGAGCAGACGATGGACATTGGCGAAATCGACAGTTGAACTGCCGGTAATAGTAGACTTGCGCCGCACGCACCGAACTCTCTTTTCCCGCATCCACCTGAGCCCAGCGTCAGGAAAGAATCACAAGGTTTGAGGCGGGTTCAGACGAGGTGGCTGACAAAAGTAAACAGCTCGTATAGGCGTGCCACACAATCACACATCTGGACTATGTACGACGGTTCAGGTTTTCGCAGAAGGAAGGGGTGGCTTGCATCCTATCTAAGTGGGAATTTCATAAAGACCACATAACGAAGTTGTCATTACAACTTGACC